GGAAGATTCTTTACATATTATGACACATTTTATGAGTATCATGAACAGTAAAAAGTAAATTGCAGACAGTCATTTCCATTGGATCGGCTACTGAGATATATCTCACTCACACTAACGGAGATACAAAGCCGTGTGACATTAGCATTGCCATATAAACTCTCACATGAATTGTCCACAGTCCTTTAGGGTGATCAAAGGCAGAGTCAAAAAAATAATACTTGTTCTGTTCAATGAAAATCTAGAAAAGTAAGAAGGGAGATCGATAGATTTTTAATTTGAAATTTATGTCTATAAAAACATAACAACAACAGACAAGCAATATAATGTTAAAATATTTTGCTAGATCACTTAGTTTACATGTTATCACTACGACTGTTTAGCATGTTTAAACACAGATACATAGGATACCAAATAAGTTCTCAATTCACATGGACTTCATTAAACAAGCTTCAGCGAGGTTTATATAATAGGAAACAGAAACAAGGCTGAGCTTGTTTGTGTAACATGAGTCACTGAATATGATCTACGCAGAAAGGTCATTACCATAGTTTCATGACGTCATTGTATTCTTCCTTATGACATATTTTACTTGATGAAATGAAGTTACATATCAAACATTTATGAGTTGGTTTGAGGCAGCATCACAGCTTCAGCAGGTGATCAGTAAATATGTGTACACGAACAGGCATGGCAAGTATGGTAGCACAAGGAAACAGACCAAATGTGTATTTGGCCTGTAGGAAATGTTAATTATGAACTCACATGGGAAACCACATTCTGTCATATTCCTCCTCAACACTAGTTGTAGTGACACATTTATGTCATGTGTTGTTCCTACATAGACTTCCTCTCTGGAAACCACTTTCAGATAAAATCTGGAAAGAATTGAAAGCTGTCTAATATATCTAGGAAATGGTGCCAGGTTGTAAATTTATTTATTTTTATAAAAAAAAAACAAGTTTTTCATCACATTGATTTTTACTTGTTTTTTTTTACTTTTTTGAGTGTGGAATGGACAGATGTGAGAGATACTGGTGTTGATTGGGGCTGAAAGTAGCTTCTCTAAGGTCATTGCCTCTAACTAATCCTCTGTTATGTCACAAAGTTCTGCACTCAGAGTAATATCAGAAGCATTTGGCAAAACAAGTCTATCTATTTATACAATCAATACAATCGACCAAATTGAAAGGTCACTGTATAGGTCATTTGTCTGTAGGGGTCACATGTCTGTAGGGGTCACATGTCTGTAGGGGTCATTTGTCTGTAGGGGTCACTTGTCTGAAGGGGTCACATGTCTGTAGGGGTCACATGTCTGTAGGGGTCATTTGTCTGTAGGGGTCACATATCTGAAGGGGGTCATTTGTCTGTAGGGTTCCTTGTATGTAGGGGTCATTTTTCTGTAGGGGTCACATGTCTGTAGGGGTCACATGTCTGTAGGGGTCACATGTCAGTAGAGGTCACATGTCTGTAGAGGTCACATGTCTGTAGGGGTCCGTTGTATGTAGAGGTCACATGTATGTAGAGGCCACATGTCTGTAGAGGTCACATGTCGGTAGGGATAATTTGTCTGTAGGGGTCACATGTATGTAGAGGTCACATGTATGTAGGGGTCATTTGTCTGTAGGGGTCACATGTCTTTAGGGGTCACTTGTCTGTAGGGGTCATTTGTCTGTAGGGGTCACATGTCTGTAGAGGTCATTTGTCTGTAGGGGTCATTTGTCTGTAGGGGTCACTTGTCTGTAGGGGTCACATGTCTGTTGGGGTCATTTGTCTGTAGAGGTCACATGTATGTAGAGGCCACATGTCTGTAGAGGTCACATGTCTGTAGGGATAATTTGTCTGTAGGGGTCACATGTCTGTAGGGGTCACATGTCTGTTGGGGTCATTTGTCTGTAGGGGTCACTTGTCTGTAGGGGTCACATGTCTGTAGGGGTCACATGTCTGTAGGGGTCACTTGTCTGTAGGGGTCACTTGTCTGTAGGGGTCACATGTCTGTTGGGGTCATTTGTCTGTAGGAGTCACATGTCTGTAGTGGTCACATGTCTGTAGAGGTCACATGTCTGTAGGGGTCATTTGTCTGTAGGGTCTCTTGTCTGTAGGGGTCACATGTCTGTAGAGGTCACAGGTCTGTAGGGGTCACTTGTCTGTAGAGGACACATGTATGTAGAGGTCACATGTCTATAGGTGTCACTTGTCTATAGGGTTCATTTGTCTGTAGGGGTCACATGTCTGTAGGGGTCACATGTCTGTAGGGTCACTTGTCTGTAGGGGTCATTTGCCTGTAGGGGTCACATGTATGTAGAGGTCACATGTATGTAAAGGTCACATGTCTGTAGGGGTCACATGTCCGTATGGGTCCTTTGTCTGTAGGGGTCACATGTCTGTAGGGGTCACATGTTTGTAGGGGTCACATGTCTGTAGGGTGTCACTTGACTGTAGGGGTCACATGTATGTAGGGTCACTTGTCTGTAGGGGTCAGATGTCTGTAGGGGTCACTTGTCTGTAGGGGTCACATGTCTGTAGGGGTCACATGTCTGTAGGGGTCATTTGTCTGTAGGGGTCACATATCTGAAGGGGTCATTTGTCTGTAGGGTTCACATGTATGTAGGGGTCATTTTTCTGTAGGGGTCACATGTCTTTAGGGGTCACTTGTCTGTAGGGGTCATTTGTCTGTAGGGGTCACATGTCTGTAGAGGTCACATGTCGGTAGGGATAATTTGTCTGTAGAGGTCACATGTAGGTAGGGATAATTTGTCTGTAGGGGTCACATGTATGTAGAGGTCACATGTATGTAGGGGTCACATGTCTGTAGGGGTCATTTGTCTGTAGGAGTCACATGTCTGTAGGGGTCACATGTCAGTAGAGGTCTCATGTCTGTAGGGGTCCGTTGTATGTAGAGGTCACCTGTATGTAGAGGCCACATGTCTGTAGAGGTCACATGACTGTAGGGGTCATTTGTCTGTAGGGGTTACATGTCTTTAGGGGTCACTTGTCTGTAGGGTTCACATGTATGTAGGGGTCATTTGTCTGTAGGGTTCACATGTCTGTAGAGGTCATTTGTCTGTAGGGGTCAGGTGTCTGTAGGGGTCACTTGTCTGAAGGGGTCACATGTCTGTAGGGGTCATTTGTGTGTAGGGGTCACTTGTCTGAAGAGGTCACATGTATGTAGAGGTCACATGTCTGTAGAGGTCACAGGTATGTAGGGGTCACTTGTCTGTAGGGGGCACATGTCAGTAGAGGTCACATGTCTGTAGTGGTCATTTGTCTGTAGGGTCTCTTGTCTGTAGGGGTCACCTGTCTGTAGAGGTCACAGGTCTGTAGGGGTCACTTGTCTGTAGAGGTCACATGTATGTAGAGGTCACATGTCTATAGGTGTCACTTGTCTATAGGGTTCATTTGTCTGTAGGGTTCACATGTCTGTAAGGGTCACATGTCTGTAGGGTCACTTGTCTGTAGGGGTCACATGTATGTAGAGGTCACATGTATGTAAAGGTCACATGTCTGTAGGGGTCACATGTCCGTATAGGTCCTTTGTCTGTAGGGGTCACATGTCTGTAGGGGTCACATGTTTGTAGGGGTCACATGTCTGTAGGGTGTCACTTGACTGTAGGGGTCACATATATGTAGGGTCACTCGTCTGTAGGGGTCAGATGTCTTATAATTTGGAAAATGAGCAAATGTAGGCAAACAGTTAGCAACAAACAAAAAACCTTCATTTATCAAATGAGCTAATGACTTGGATGTGTTTTCCTATTTCAACACATCCAAGAAATAATTTAACTTTCCTCGGTAACAAGATACAGACATAGCCTTTTCTAGTCACATTTCCGTACTTTGGTACATTTTGTCACTAAAATGCGACAGAGCAGTTCTTAATATAACACTTTGCTCTACATTTTATAAAAACAAATGGGATTCTTTGAAATTCTATTTGGAGTTATTAATACTAAAGCTTAATAGTTGTAATATCAGAATCATTTATAACCCATCCCTGGTATAATACAGCATCCTAACAGTCACCAGTGACATGAAATACAGCATCCTTACTTACAGTCACCAGTGACATATAATACAGTGTCCTTACTTACAGTCACCAGTGACATATAATACAACATCCTTACAATCACCGGTGACATATAATACAACATCCTAACAGTCACCAGTGACATGTAATACAGCATCCTTACTTACAGTCACCAGTGACATGTAATACAGCATATAATACAACATCCTTACAATCACCGGTGACATATAATACAGCATCCTTACAGTCACCAGTGACATGTAATACAGCATCCTTACAGTCACCAGTGACATATAATACAGCATTCTTACAGTCACCAGTGACATATAATACAGTGTCCTTACAGTCGCCAGTCACATATAATACAGTATCCTTACAGTCACCAGTGACATATAATACAGCATCCTTACAGTCACCAGTGACATATAATACAGCATCCTTACAGTCACCAGTGACATATAATACAGCATCCTTACAGTCACCAGTGACATATAATACAGCATCCTTACAGTCACCAGTGACATATAATACAGCATCCTTACAGTCACCAGTGACATATAATACAGCATCCTTACAGTCACCAGTGACATATAATACAGCATCCTTACAGTCACCAGTGACATATAATACAGCATCCTTACAGTCACCAGTGACAATAATTATACAGCATCCTTACAGTCACCAGTGAGATATAATACAGCATCCTTACAGTCACCAGTGACATATAACACAGTGTCCTTACAGTCACAAGTCACATATAATACAGCATCCTTACAGTCACCAGTGACATATTATACAGCATCCTTACAGTCACTATTAACAGATGAGAACTCAGACATTGAACGGTAACTTAAGGTATATTCACTATTTACAGATGAGAACTCAGACATTGAACGGTAACTTAAGGTATATTCACTATTTACAGATGAGAACTCAGACATTGAACAGTAACTTAAGGTATATTCACTATTTACAGATGAGAACTACACCAAGCTGGCCATGGATACCCTAGAAGAACTTGACTGGTGTCTTGACCAGCTAGAAACCATCCAGACTCATCGGTCAGTTAGTGACATGGCGTCCAGCAAGGTAGGTTTTACAACAAGTAGGACTGACATTGATGAAGGCCTCACTGGATTCTATACTATCGCAAATGAGATCCTGACTTACACGCCTTATTATGACATATTGTTGTTTAAATCTGTAACTTGTTGTCAACTTAAGAAGAGTTCTTTATACACAGATAATGTGTGATATATTTAAACATTTTGTGGCTCCTTTTCTTACAGTTTAAACGGATGTTGAATCGAGAATTGAGTCATTTTGCGGAATCTAGCAAGTCAGGAAACCAAATAGCAGAATATATCTGTAGCACATATCTAGGTAAGTTGTCTTTTCTAGCAGAATACAGTGAACACTTTGTTATAGTGTCACCATCTGTTAAGTATAATTATGGCTTATCAAGAGGTTCCACAAAATATTGAGGGATATGTGTAAAGTAAAAAGGAAAAGGAGACAATGAATAACATTAGCAGAAAGTCATGATCATGTGGCAGATAAATTGAGATCGGCTTTATATCAAGGTTTTTACTGTATAGTGAAAGTCTGTATATTTACCATATTAAGACCTTCATTTTCTTGATAAGGGTACCAGGTAGTTGTTTTATCAATTTATATATTGGAAAACTCTCTGTGTGTTACTGTGCAAAGCCACCAAGAAAACCTATATGAAATCTGATTGTGTTTCATTGCCTACAGCAATGGAGTTACTTCCCTTAGGCTTTAAAGTGACCTGATGTATTTTGGTTACTAGGGCAATGATATAAAAAATATATATGGATCAAATGTAAATATATCAACCCTTGAAATAATAAAAATTCTGTTCCTTACTGTTATTCAGCAGCATCAAATGAAGACTGTTTTTATTTATTTATTGAGTAATTTTAAATGATACACCAGCAAAATTTCCCCAACATGGCTGGAATTTAGAGATTTTTAAATGGAGTTTTGGATGCTCTACAAATTCAGCTGTACATCAAAGACTTACAGAATGATGCAAGCACTGATTTACAATTGAGTTTGTCTCCATGTATACTTTTTTTAAACTTCTCTGATTTGAAAATTAGCTAGTTCAAAAATATTGTCTGCGTCAGGTATTATCACCTGACCTACTCTGTTAGGGTTTGGGCCGTTTTTTATGAAATTCATGTCAGGAGGTTAATCCCTTTCCTGTCTTGCACATTGATGCATACCCTCCTCTTCTGTGAAATGAAAATGATGAGGTTTCTATCACTAAAATTAAACAACATTAATCGTTTCATTAAGCACTGTCTGTAAACATTTTATAAATTACCGTGTTCATCTAAATTAAAACCCAGTGCTGAAAATTTCAAGATTGAATTCAAATTATTTAGATCATTTTGACGTGGGCATTAAAACAAAATATTTTCATCAAAGCTTTTTAAGTCTGATTGCGGAGATATATTAGGCTTTTAAACTAAATTGAAAATTTTCATATACTTATTTTTAATTTGTCTTAATATGGCACCCTTATCATCGTAGACATGGATTGTTAGCTTCAAATTATTTTATCACTAGTCAACATTTATACACCAATTCATCATTAAGCTAACCAGGCTTTCAGTGAAAGTCTGCACTATGTTTTATCTTTATTTTTTTATTCTAATGATGAAGTCATCAGAGGGCAAGGTCAAAAGGTCACTTGGTTACAATAATAAAATAGAGGAAATCCTTCTGTTATGTATTAAAGCAGAGCTGCACACCAAAAAGGTCTATCAGAAAAAGAAATCAGTATTTGCCTCCAATCGTAAGGATTCATTTAAAATCCTTTTCTTTGTTGTATTTTTATTTCAATGTGTTTTTAAAAAATACCATACAGACAATCATTCATGTTTGGTTGTTAATAGGGGATAGAAATCTGGCCAGAGATATGTTGTTTTACTGTTACAGACAGTTGTATTTGACTCCTGATGAAAAGAATTTGCCATAAATGTAAGAACGGTTTGTGAATGAAATTTGATGGGCACAATGAATTGTGGGGGGTTTCACTGAGGCTTCTAATCTGAAAAAAAAGACGCCTACTACTCGGCTGTGGGCATGTTAACAACTAGGGGCATCATTTACATCAAATATGGTCAGACAGGATTCTCCGGTACAGTTTTCTCAGCGCCTAAGCAATGGATGACGGCCAACCTGTGATGGATCTCAATGATTTCACTGTCAGCCATTAGGCCTATACAACCAAACCTTCCACGATTTTAATTCCATCTGAATTAAACTTCCCAAAATATCTAACTCGCTACTCACGATTTCAGACATATTTCATAATACAGAAGAAAAAAATGTTGCCTACGTTTTGGCTATAGGTAATATTGGCGCCCTGGTAGACATGTGTGTATTTGGCTGATTAAGGATAAGCCAGACTCTCTGTGTGGTAACAGATACTGACTTCACTTCACTCTTCTCTTAATAGTCAAACATACACTTAAGTTCTATCCTTATTTGTTTGCAGAAGTGGTTTGCAAAGAAGAAAAAAAAAAAACTGTAAATTGTATTGAAAGACAAAATTTTAAAAAACACAAAAACTTTCAATAATTTTGACATTTGTCCGAATATTTATGATAAAAGAATGACTTTGATTTTGATATAACTAAATGTATCAGTTTAGTTAGTGTTTGTGGGTATCTTTTATATCTAGTTTTATCTTTTAAATTCTACACCTGATTTAATAAAGTTAAAAAATTGTATGTATGCCCTCCACCCCACCTCCCCACCCACCCCCACCCCCCATCATGAACTCACGAGAAGACACTAGGTGTTATTATCCCACTTGGTTACATGTTTCTTATCATTATGTAATGTTTATAGTGGATAAGGTTTCATGTTAGGTTAAGTGTGGTCGGTTGGCCTCTTTTTTAATTGTTTATCTACAATGATTTATATTTCCGGAGTTTCATACAGAGGCGTGTCACTTCACTTCATATTTGTTATAACTTGGAATGTTCTCATTTGTTATAAGTAGGTTATGCATTACATCCACATTACTTTCAACAAAATACTTTACGAAAGAACAAAATACTCTATGAAAGAAAAAGTTCACCCCTGTTATATTTTTGCAGTTTTTGCCCTAGACGAAATGAGGGTTAATTCATCAAGCTAAGAAAACTATAACATTCGTAGTTGTGATGGTAATGAAAAACATAATGTTGATTTATTAAAGTGAAACTGTATTAAAAAGCCAAAGGGGAGACAATTTGATAGCGTGGAGGTGTTCAATTATATATTTTAAGTACTAGACCACAAGGAGACATTTAAAAATTCCTACATAAATATAAAAACATCACTATCCCTAATGAGAAATATGCTGCAATTTCATTTTACTAATTATATCTTAATGAGTTGTTATATATACAAGGACATGTTAAATCTTATAACTGATCCCTTGTACAATGAAAGTATGATTGTGTATAATAAAAGTTGACCAAGTTATATGATTACCTTACATGATGTAGTTACGCTCTAATTACGCGGACTGATGGATTTATCAACACATGTATATGAACATGCAGAGGCAATTAACCTTGGTTAAGAACATGTACTGCCGACGTCAGGAAGAACACTTATTCACTATCGGACGTTTCAGGAAGACTGATAATTTTTAAAAGTCTTGCTACATTAGCTTTACAGTACATGAGGTCCAGACAGCCCCTTCCTGTGTAAAACCCTCTGATAAATGTTCACAGAATTATCATTGCAGTCTGTTTTTCTTAGAATCTGATATTCATATGACATACACCAGTAGAAATTCTAGACTTCAACAAAACCTCCCAGATGTTACATTGAACACTGGGACAGGGCCAGATACCAACCCCCAACAAAACCTCCCAGATGTTATATTGAACACTGGGACAGGGCCAGATACCAAGCCCCAACAAAACCTCCCAGATGTTACATTGAACACTGGGACAGGGCCAGCCACCAAGCCCCAACAAAACCTCCCAGATGTTACATTGAACACTGGACAAGGGCCAGATACCAAGCCCCAACAAAACCTCCCAGATGTTACATTGAACCCTGGGACAGGGCCAGCCACCATGCCCCAACAAACCCTCCCAGATGTTACATTGAACACTGGACAAGGGCCAGATACCAAGCCCCAACAAACCCTCCCAGATGTTACATTGAACACTGGGACAGAGGCCAGCCACCAAGCCCCAACAAAACCTCCCAGATATTACATTGAACACTGGGACAGGGCCAGCCACCAAGCCCCAACAAAACCTCCCAGATATTACATTGAACACTGGGACAGGGCCAGCCACCATCCCCCAACAAAACATCCCAGATGTTACATTGAACACTGGGACAGGGCCAGCCACCAAGCCCAAACAAAACCCCCCAGATGTTACATTGAACACTGGGACAGGGCCAGCCACCAAGCCCAAACGAAACCTCCCAGATGTTACATTGAACACTGGGACAGGGCCAGCCACCAAGCCCCAACAAACCTCCCAGATGTTACATTGAACACTGGGACACCAAGCCCTTGTTAATTGGAATATAGTTCAAATAGCAGAAAAACATCTTTGTCCAAAACAAAATCGTACAACATTTGTCTCCTTCCTCATAACTGTCTCATGCATCAAAAGTTGGATCCCTGTATTAGGGACCTGTCCCCTTACCTTTCTCCTGTATTAGGGACCTGTCCCCTTACCTTTCTCCTGTATTAGGGACCTGTCCCCTTCCCTTTCTCCTGTATTAGGGACCTGTCCCCTTACCTTTCTCCTATATTAGGGACCTGTCCCCTTACCTTTCTCCTGTATTAGGGACCTGTCCCCTTACCTTTTCCTATATTAGGGACCTGTCCCCTTACCTTTCTCCTATATTAGGGACCTGTCCCCTTACCTTTCTCCTGTATTAGGGACCTGTCCTCTTACCTTTTCCTGTATTAGGGACCTGTCCCTTACCTTTCTCCTGTTTCAGACACCTGCCTATCTGCTTCAGAGGTCTGGTAAACTACAACGGTAGTCTGCCGGCTGCTGGCAACTATTGGTCACATCAGAGCTTTAATAGCTGTGTGAATATGTATCAGTATCTAAAGGAAGTTAATCATGATGGAGTGGCGTTAAATATTGCTTTTGTTATCCAACTATTACGGTTAGACTTTACAACTGAAAAGTTTTTGACAGTTCTTGAACCCAACTGTGCTAGTTACCACAGGTTTTACTTCTTCCGTTGGCGTTATATGTACAGTAAGACCTAAAGTATCCCTTAAGTCATTTCTGAAAGGAAAACCGTACCTTACGGGTTAGGAACAAATATACAAAATGTAATCAACAACACAATTGTGAGTGTAAAATTTC